CCCCCCCCCCCCCACACAGACACACAGACACACACACACACACACACACACACACACCAGATACATTTGCACACATCATGTGAACACCAAATCTGGATATGATTATGCCCCTGCTGATATTTATACAGAAATGCATGGAGAAGAGGCAGCCTTTCTGTGCATGTCTGAACCAACCCATAATGCCAGTGTGCAATTCTCCATGTGCTGTAAGCAGAGACTAGGCGTGAAGATCAATCCTTGCAAATGATCATAAAGTACTCTACTTGTGTATCCATATATATATATATATATATATATATATATATATATATATATATATATATATATATATATATATATATAAAACTATCTTTGTAATTATGATGCACACTTATATGTTTATTTATTTATTGGTGTTTTGTTATAGTTAGTTGTGTTGTCTTTGATTGTACCTTTTGTGTTAAAGATGTTTCAATGAAGAATGTGAAGTCTGTTATGGCTTTCTCAAACAGCATTTAAAATATTTTTATTGTGTCCTACCAAATGAAATCCTCTCTTCTTCTATGATATACTAAATACAATGCCATAATTGTACAAATTTTGATAACTACTCAGTCATTTTTTACATTATTATCTATCATACAAGTCTCTTGGTGTCACAATATGCTGGCTAAATTATAAGTGCAGTTTTCCGTGCACATGATTTTGTTCTCATTATTTAAACTAACCCTGTAGCTGGGTGTCTATACTTTCATCATTTTTTACAGCTTCTTTTAAAAGCTGCTGTGTTTTATCACTGTATTTTGCATGCATTTTACTGCATTGCAACAATGTTACTACTATAATATATTGCATTTTGCTTTTAACTTTGTGGAGTTGTAAAATGACCGGATGTGATTATTTGTTAAAAATGTATTTTTAATGTGTATTTTGCTGTACATCATCACTATAGTTAGTGTGATATCTGGAAAATGGTAATGCCATTGCTTGAGTCCCCTCCAAGACCAAAATACTGGTCAGGACTGAAAATATGCTTAGACTGATTATTTTACTTATCATTAATCTTCTATTGTATTTATGATTTTTAGTATATTTTTTCATGAAAGTAATATTGAGATTTTTAAGTCACAGTATGTAGTTTAATACATACTTATAGTTTAATGTATAAGTATGTAGTTTAATGTTTTCTTTATTTAGTCTTTCTGTTTCCTTGAGACATTCTACTGTTCCTTTTGTGGTATAATGGAAACCATCCAAGCCATTTTTCAATCTATATAATGGGCTGGACCCTATTTGACAAATTATAAATTAGGGTACATTACATTTACAGTTCAGGTAATGCAATGAACTAGTTTTAATTTTTGGTTTGTGGTATATGCATCCAGCTCTTTAATATCCATATTCTGAAATGTATTCACCTGCATGTTTGCATGATATACACCAGTTATAGGTGTTTGTTGAAGTTCAGTGTCAAATTATTGGGAAAAAAAAAGCTAATTGAATGCGGGCAATTAGGTGAAATATTATTCAAAACCAGAGGTCTTATAGCTGTTCAAAATTGCATGAAAGTCTTCTGTTGGATTTGAAATGATCAGGTGGAAAGTGTTCCTTGCTACACATACCCTTTGTATTTTACACCTATGTGTGAAGTAGTGCGTATCCTTGCCCCTGTCACTTAATGGTCAAGCAAAGATTTAGTCCAGGTGTCCAGCTTTGTGATTACATCCAATTCAGCTATTATCTAGTCTGCTGCTCTGGGGTTTTGTGTAGGGGTGTGGTAGTTACATAAGAGCAGACCAGTTGATCATCTCAGATCTCTCACATATAATTATGCAACAGCTAGAAGACCTCTTACTAGTGCAGTGTAGCATAGTGAAATATCATTTGAACAAAAAGAGATAAAACAGTGTAAGGTTTCTGTGTTGATAGATATATTCAAGCCAGCTATATGAAAAGAAAATAATCACTCTGACTGAGTAGATTTTTCAGTTGTAAAAAGTAAATGTGAGTGTGTATATATTGATATTATTTTCATAATTCACACAATGTTTATTTATTTTTTTTTAATTGTTTCTTTTTTAACATTTAATTATGCTAACTGTGATTATATGAAACAGTAGCATTGTTGAAATTTTTTAGTTTCTCACACTTCTTATACCCAGGTGAATTCTTTTATTTTAAAATGCATTGTGTATTATAATTTTTACACAGGTAAGCTGTCAACAATATGCAGTGCAGCCATATTGTTCAAAGAAGAATTCAGAGAGAAGTGTTTACACATTTAGGTAGGCATTGAAAGCTGTGTTAGCTATTTTCTGTTCTTTCACAGGTTTCCTGTGCACATTATGGATCTTTTTGATGTCTTCTCCCTTGTGATATAACCTATTAAGTGTTTCACTGAACCAGCAGTGGGTTAATGAAAGTTGATTACCCGTTGTCTTTTCTTAATTGTTACAGGAAACCTTCATTTGATAAATGAGTAGTCATGAAGAAACTTCATTGAAGATGGTTATTTTTGCAAATAGTCTGGGTCGGTCTCTTTGTAATTTGATTTCCCAGCAGATTTTTCACTTCATATCAATTATGAACTTGAAATTGATATGTGCATTATTTATTATATTCTGAGTCATAAGTCAATTTTGGTCAATTTTACAATTTTACTGATATTTTGGTGTGTGTGAATCTTTTCAGGGATGGTACAGAATTCATGGATTTGGAATTGGATACCATGTTTGATGTGGATTCTATCATAGGGAATTTGTTGCAGTAAGTTTGACTTGTGACCATTAAATAAAGCCTTTGTATCTGAGTATCACCAGTGCAAAAATATTTATCTGCTATTACTATGACTTTCTAAAAGCAAATCTCTTAATTTAACCCCTTGATTTTGTGGAAAAATATTTAAATTTTTTCTGTTTTTCAAAATCATTTGAAAAAATACTATAGAATCCTATAGGTGGTGAATTTCCAAGATTCCTTACTCATTTCAATCAGTGTTTGTTTCATTTTTTTTTTTACACATTTTCTATTAGCCTCTTGTGATATTTTAAGCAAAAAATATCTAAATCGAAAATGGTGATTTTTATGTGATTATATCTTTGATGCATGACATCATCCTCTTGAAGCACAATACATGTTCAAAGAACCACAACTAACATTAGTAAATTTGCTTCTATGGCTATGGATGATCAAAATAAAAAAAAGAAAAGAAAAAGAAAAAAGCCATAAACTCGGATAAATGCATTAAACAAATGTTTTAGACTTAATGTTTTAGACTAAAATTCAAATACTTCATTCAAGGTGAAATCTCAGTGATTTGCACATGTATTTTATTTGCATCTTAACACAAGGCATTCTGTAAAATAAAACAAATATGAACTGAGTCTCTGGGTAATATGTTAAAACTTGGTGTAATGTCTTAACTGTCACTTCTGCAGCACATTCATATGAACAAAAAAAATTTTTTAATTTTAACATTATAGTATTGTTCACTAAAACCTCTTGAAACAGGCATTTATTATCATTATCACATCAAAGCTATTTGTCAGGATGTGTCTCATATTGACTTGTTTGCTTGCTAAGCTTTTATGAAGAAGATGTCTATGTTTTATCTGATATCTCCTATTTTTCACAGCTGTTGTCACAAGGAGGTGAGATAAGAAAGAATTGCATCAGTTCTCATCCCAACACTTAACATGATCATGTTTTAAACAGTCAAGTAATTTCACCTATTTTGCACAGCAATGAAATTTTCTTTCATAATTAATTCCTCAAGAGAGATATACTACTTTGATGAATCTACCATTTGAGGCTTGATGAATAGTTGCCTAGCCATTAATAATTCTTTTCATCATCCTCATCATATGCTTCATTTACTTTAGCCATGTAGTTCTATGTTAATGGGTGCATGTAGCTATCTTTGGTGCCACATAGTCTGGAAAATATTTAAAAATGTAGAAATGTGGAGTTTTGTTTGTGGAAGATTAAACACAAGTCATAACTAAGGATAAATGGAAGTTGCATTGAAAACTCCTATTGTCGTACCCAATAGATAACCTTTTTTCCCTTCTGTAAATTGGTTTCCATGACCATGAATGGACTGAACATGTTTATGAATGGCCATGTTTATATAGCTAAAAGGAATACAAGTAGGATCTTTGATCCTTAGAATTATATCCAGAAGTCATTTATCAGAATTTCTTAAATTTTTACTGGGATAAATAATAACCTAAGAACTGAATTGCATATTATGTCTTCATTTCCAGATTAGCTCTTTTAGAAGAAGTGCCCATTATCAGTACTGAGTCGGAACTTGGGGAATTGCAGAAAAGACACCAGGGACAGAATGATATTGTATTTGCATGGCTGAAATCAGTTGGAAGTTATGGTAGGTTGATTTGTAGTGAAGTGATGCAATGTTCAAACAAACTTTTTTTTTCAAAATATGTAGTGTAGTTTAATGATTTTATATATATATATGGAGAAAAGTATTTTTCTTAGTTTTTTTTTTTAGATAAGTTAAAAGGTCTTCTTTTAATTTTATAAGCCAACTTGAAGTAACTTGACTTATAAGTTTAACTACTTAAAACACAAAATAGAATGCTTTGTATCTTCATAATGTTATGATGAAAATGTTTTGGAGCAGTATATTGAAAACATGGTGTCTTTGTTATCATTGTTTGGATAGTTTGAGCATTTAGTCAAAGTAAATGACAACAACACACGGTGTTTGTGTGAAGAATTACATATATATGATACCTTCATCTTTCAGAGCATAGAATTTTCATGTGGGTTGCTTTTGTTTACCACACCAAAGGCATCAAATTTGCACTGACAACAGACAAGAAAGTTGTCAGTAAAATGATGTAAGTATTTACACAAATTTGTGATTAAAAATGTCAATTTAACCTCCACCATGGAGTATTGTTAAGGTTGAATACCAATGTAAATATGTAGTAAAGACTGAAGTGAAGGCATCTCTTAATAGTATTTATATATGTGCCAGAAGTTTTTGCGAACCCTTATTTTTCAATTTACAGTGATGGTGATACCAACAAAAAAGCTCTGATGTGGGTCTTTCGTTGTAAACAGGCTACAACAGGCAAGTGTGACAGTAACCAGTATGAAGGCAAGATGGACTTGGCCTCTGTTATTAAATACAGCAAAACTCTATATCTGCCATTAGTGGTAAGTTGGGGACATAATGAGCAAATGAGAAAATTATTTTTTTCGTCTTATCAGTTAAAGATGTGTTTCTAGATTTGTAGGAAATAAAATGTCTACATATTTTATGTAAATATAGTGAAGACTGCTTAAATCCAAGTTATAATGTATTTCATTGTGGCAGTATTTAATTATTTCTTATCATGCTGTAGGACCATATGCTAGGTAGAAAAAAAAAGACATAAACAAAAATCTATAGAACATTTCATATAATTTTTGTTCAGGAAATAAAGACATTTTACGTTTTGCAATGAAATCATTCATTTACGCTTGTGTGGAAGTTAAAAAATATTTTTAGTTCACAATAAATAACTCTGACTGTTTATTTTTTCCAAGCACCCATTAGTAGACTCGACAACTCCATATGACAATGAGATGAAGGGAATTGTCTATGTGATGCACAGTGGACAGATAGAGAAAGTTTATGTGGATAGCGTAGCCATGAAATTAGCTCTCACTTTTGAAGGTGTTGCTGGGGTAGTTACAGTTGATGTGTAAGTGTACCAATGATATTTTGTAAAATTCTCATCTCTTGCCCCAATCTCTTAATTTTCCTTAATTTCTCAACTTTACCCGAGTACTGGTTGTAACAGTTCTCATGTAAGGCCNCTCATACATTTGAAATCCCAAAAAAATGCAAATTTTTTTTTATTTTACAGAGATAAAGTTGGAAAGGGTGTACTTCAGTCAAGAGGCCTCCAGCCACCCTCTGAGATTCCAAATATTGCCGTCCAAATGCTGGAGCCACAGGTAATCAATACTGAGTACATTTCATTTCAAATTGGAATGCCTATTTGATCAGAATTATTTAATAATACTTATTATAAGACCATGCATCATTGTTCATGTACTATTGCAAGGCTGTAGTTAGGGATTCTAGTTCTTAATGTAAATAAAGGGCCTTAATTTTTTTCAAAACCTGCTAATTGTGTTTGTGTTTGATGAAAATATTGTATGCTGGAGTTAAACCTTTGTTCTTTCTTTTTGTCATATATGTTATATTCTTTCCCATTTTTATTTCAATTATAAAAGGCAAATGTCTCCAACCCCTCTTTGCTTTCAGAAGAAGGATGTTTCATATATGAATGACGAGTTCTCTGAGGGAAATGCCTTGGCATTTGTTACTAAGTTCATGCAAGATTTCCTTGAAGAAACCACATCAGGCAGTGAGGAGGACACACAGGAGGAGATGGAAATGGGTACTGAAAAAGTTTTGATTATTGTTACATAAAAAAGTTTGAGAATAGCAAATAGAATGTTTTAACATCTGTACATTGTTGCAGTAAGAAGATATATTTTAAAGCATATGTTTACAAGCATACTTTTTTGTGTATGGTCTTGTACATTTTTTGCTTATGAGTAAAAAAGAAAGGAAGATGTTCATATTGATCATATAAGACTGTCCTTTGGTCAAACATGTTAAAAGCCACAGTTATGCCATGTTATGGTAAATGCAAGAAAGAGAGGGGGGGGAGGGCAAATAATTCATCGAATGGCTTTTGAATATGCTAATTTTGATACAAAAAATCTACCTTAATGTTTTTGAGGCAAAGGTCAATTTGACTTTGTTCAGTATTTCACTGTTCATGTGCTTTGTTACCATTAACCATAATGTCAACCATTCCACAGAATATGAGGAGGAGGTGGAGGGTGAAGATACTCAAGATGATGCAGTGGAGGAATCCGTGTTCAGGTTGAAACTGGCAGAGGAAATTATAAACACAACTTTCATACCCACTCTCACAGATAAAACATTCCCAACTACTATCCAAGAGAAGGACCTTGTTGCTGTTTTGTTTTACTTCAAGAGTGAGTTATTGCAAGATTGCTCAATGATTCTAAAACTGAGTTACTGACTATATGGATTCACCAGTCCTTATGAAAAAAGAAAATAGAAATATGAATCCTTTTCTTACTTCAAGTCCGCAGTCTGATACTTTAAATTTCATTTGAAGTGATTTGTTTTAGTCTCATTGTGTATTGGGCATATTATTTTAATGCCTTATGTTGTGCTAAATCTGAAACTTGTTTTGAAAATTTCTTGTGTGCCTTTATGTAAAATTAAAAAATTCATGTTTTACAGTGGATGCGGAAAGCATGGCTTTCCTTCGCTCCTTTGCTGATGCCTCCTTGGATGTTTATACAAATAGTGCTGATAGTCCTCTAGCGAGCATTGAGTGCTGGGATTGGACTGATGTGTGTGGTAAGAAACCTTATGACAAAAAATATATCATTGTGAATATCTGTTAATGGTATATTTGTGTTTATGCAAATGTTAGTCCCTTGTCCATTATTAAATTTGAATATGAATATTTAATTTGTACAAATTTTACTGTACTTTGGAATGAGCATTGCAGTTACTTTTGCCACTCTTTAAGATTTTAAGTATATATAGATATTTTCTATATTTAACTGTACATGGCATTTAGTTTAGTGATCATTTACATTTGCTTTACTAATTATCTAAGAAAACTGCATTACAGGCAAACAAAACATTACCCAGTACCCTGTCTTAAGAATATACCGTAAGAATATGGAACCAGTGGAGTACAAAGGCATGTGGGATGGAGACACTGTTATTAAAACTGTAAAAATGTAAGAGAAATACTGTAAAAATAAAATAAAATGATGCAAACTACAATAACTCTTGCAGCTCTTTTATTAGGAAGATTTATCACAACTGGTCTGTGAGATTTGACTTATTCTACTCTTTTGATGGAAAATATCAGTTTTTTAACATGAGATTGCCTATTTGAAGTCAATTACAGTGAACAAATGTGGTGTGGAAGGCATACTTTGATTTAAATGCGATAAGAAGTGTAAAATCCCAACCAAGCCTATGGTCATTAGCAAATTATACATGTTCTTTAGATTTAATATAGCTTAGTGTTTTTATTTTTGATTGACAGGTACCAAAAGCCTGTTCCAGTAACCCTGGAATCTGATGAAAAACTTTCCCAGTTCATAGCCAGCAACTTGCCTGAACAGACTGACAACATATATAATACTTCAGTTTTAGCACTGTTTAATGATGCTTCTCGAAAAGGTGAGGCAGACTTACATGCACATGACAAAAGAGACAAAAAAGAATAGTTTAAAAAGAACTGTTGTCGATTTTTTGATTTGACAGGTAGGTTAGTTTTTTTACCAGCTGAGTAAATAAAATTATTTGGCCGATTATAATATGCTTTTGGTAATTTTGCCTCTTTCTTTTAATGTTCACATGATTGTCAGTAAAAAATTCTTTTAAATTTTACATGAATGCAAATACATTTTCAATATGATATGATGTACTGTTATTGTCTTGCCATGTTTGTCTTTATGGAGATCTAATCATTGGATATGTTTGTTACTGTTCAGTATTTTTGACTTTCAATATTACAGAGACAGAGACTTTTAACAAGGTTGCAGAAAAGCTACGGGCAGAAGCTGTGTTTGGTTTGGCTGTAGACCTTGAAACGTCCAAGAAATATTTGTAAGTTATGAAATTATAGATATTTTTTCATAAAAAGTTGTAATTATTAATCTTTGGGGCTGTTTGGTCTTCCTATGATGAATTGTATATAGAACCACAAAATATTATAATAAGGGTGTGTACATATTTTCAGACAAGAAAACTTTAAGGCAAAGTCACCAGCTATAGTGGTTTTGAAGACAGCAGATCCGTTCCAACCTCATGTTATGTACCGTGGATCCCTCACAAATGAACAAGAACTATCAGCATTTGTGAAACAAGCTCGGCTGCCTGTGTTTGTAAGTGTGGTGTTTGTATGAGTCCCCCCTTGCAATACCCTATTCAATTTGGTAGAATTTGCCTAGAGCTAAAACATTGCTGAGATTTTAACCAAGTAAAAATGAAGTACATTTTGAACTATTTTATCACATTAGTATTGTTTGTTATCTTTAGGTGGAGATCAACTTTATGAACAGTTCAAAAATGAAAAGGATGTTTAAGATATTTAGATGTGTACACCTTTTAAGTTTGGGTTGGTCTGGCCAAACACCAATCTGCATTCTAAATGAATTTTCTCAATATCTAAATCTGCTGAGTACTGCTTTTGTTTTATTTCATTAGTGTGTTTTTATTTTATATTGTATAAGATGTGCTCTTGTAATTGTAGCCTGAGTTGACTCCAATGACACTTCCATCCTACTACAGCAAAGGCTTGCCTTTTGTCATACTATTTGGTGAAGACTTCAAAGCAGATGGAGTGCATGCAACTCTTGGCCATGTTGCAGCCAGTGGGGAAGTGCCACAGATGCAGTTTGCCTGGATGGATGTGTACGTGATTTCTTTTATGTAGAAACTGACTACAACAGCAATCTCTTCAGTCTCTTCAGTGTGACTGAAGTTGCTGAAAGTTCTATACCGAGTTACACTATAAAATTTGTGATAAAGACAGTCCTATATTAATGATTGTTTCTGTTCATATTTGAACAAGACAATTATCAGAAAAAGGTCCTTATAAGTGACTTGCATGTAACAGACACATTCTCTGACAGAAGATTGACTTAAGTGATGTCAGCAATTTGAAAATTTGTTCCCATGTTATGGTGTTTGATACTCGAGTTATCTTTAAGGACCACAGGGCTACAGGACCATACACATTAAAATATAATACTTTTTCAGGTATGATGATATTAGTTTAGGGACAGTGCTTCTGAAGAAATATGTCAATAACCCAACATTTCCTGCTGTTGTTGTTGTCAACCACAAGGAGGTGAGTATTACTTGAATTGTCACTAGTTTTAAGTACAATTAATATGAATTTATGAACCAAGGGCTTAAGGACATGGTGAAATCATGGTAACTTAAAATAGTGTATTTAAACATGTAACAAATTTAATTATATAAAGTCCTGCTAACTTATTTTCAAAATTTGGTGAGCTCAAAATAATGCATGAATATTTAGAATAAGGAAAATTAGAATTTTATAATAATTTCAGGGAAAAGTTCATGTATATAGCAAGACTGATACGAGTAGGGAGGCCATTATGAAGTGGCTTCAAGATGTCCAGAATGGGAACAGTGAGGCAACCGGTCAGTATATTCTGTAAAATCAGGTCTTATTCTTTAAAAGTCACTTTTTATAAGACTCTGAGAAGCCTGTACTGTTATAATTTTGAAGAGTTGAGGTTATAAGTCGATGTTTTTGTTTAGCTTAGTTTTAACATAATTGAGTTGATTAGATATTTGTAAGTGAAAACATTTGCATTTATTTGTTTGTTTCTTGGAACTTCATCGGTATATGCCCCAAGTCCAAAATGATTAATCATTCTATACTTTGAATAAGAACCAAAATTAAATAAGAGCATTTCAACTTAGTTTGATATTTTCTTTGCAGTTGCTACATACAGGTTACAGATTCATTAAAGTTCTCTTATTAAATAAAGCATAACTTCTAAATGCCTTGCAGTGTCTTTGCCAAAGGGTGATTGGAAACCATTGAAACCAGGTCATGATTTCCTACCTTTGGTGTATCCAGACGGTGGAGATTCAGCTCCTCGTCCTGTTGACGATGATAAAAGAGAAGAATGGCTAGGAACAGGTTTGGGAATAAAGCTTCTGTTTCATGTTTAAAGATATCTATAAATAAACCATTTTGTACAGTGTGATTTAGCAGTTAAATTATAAGTTTGCTGTCACAAAGTTTATACTTAAAATTTTTTGAGACTGTAATTATGAGACTTTTTATTATGCAATGGAAAAGAAAAGGTCATAGTGTATATTTGATTGTGATTGGTTAACATATTTCTGTCTATACCCATATTTCAGGGCACGGCGAGGAACGTGATGATAATGACAACATGGCTGCAACACATGATTCGATAACAGACAGCAACTCCGATAAGGAGGACGAGGTAGCAGATGTCCTAGAGCTTAAAGATAAATCACGAATCTACCACCACCACCACCACCACCACCACTCAGAAAACAAGCAACAGAAGCCTCAAGATGGAAAAAGTACCATGGAGCACATACACACTGAGCTCTGATTACAATGTAGCTTTAAGCAACAGCATTCTTAGTTTAAAAAGAGAGGCATGTTCAGTGTAAGAAGCATAATTTTGCTTAGTTAGATCACTACAGCTGTGCTTTATTTATTTATTTTTTTTAATTTTGTTATTCAGAACTACTGTCTATTCAGATATTGGTGCAGGATTTCTTCATTTTCAGATATTGGTGCAGGATTTCTTCATTATTTTACTTTTGTGTTTTTGTTTGATTTAGGAGTTAATTACTACTAAGAATCTTACTTATATCTTATGTTAACCAAAAAAGGGTGCCTTGGGTAAAACCCCACTTGATGCATGATTTTTAAAATGTGTTGAATTTATTTTTTTATGCAAGTACATGGGCACTTTCTATTTATACAAATTTAGAGAACTTGCATGTCATGCTTTAAGAATCAGTTTTGATCTTTGTCACAGTTACTTGTATTTTTTGCTATCAGAATTGCCTAGATTGTAGTTCTTTCATTTCTTGTGTGCTTTGAAGGTGTGCAATAGTAAGGATACAAAAATATGATAGTTGACTGGAAAGACACCATTAAATGTTTGAATCTAATTTTGATAGTCAAATATGTCAGCTTCATGTTCCCAATCCATTCCACTCAACACCAACATCACTTTTCCTATTTTAGTTCCCAAAGCAGGAAATATCTTGGGTTGAACATAAATCTGTTTCTTTAATATAGATTTAATTCAATGCTCATGGTATTGAACAGGGAATCTTATCATTCCAAGATGGCTTTTTGCTTGAATAATGAATCTTTGTTAAGGTGCTATGGCTTCATGTGAAGCATTTATGATGGTGGATAAGTTGTTTTGCTGTGGAATCTCGTAGTTGTAAACTCTTGTTTTGGAATGTGCTCTGTTTGAGATTTGAAGTTTGAAACATATTCTGGTTAGTTATTTTTACCAGAAAAATAGTTAATTCATTTTATTAATTAAATAATAAAATGATCCCATTGTTTACACTTAGTCAATCAGTAGTAGCTATTTTATACTTAGTAGTTAACTGTGGTTAACAGGCAAGTGTGCTCAATAATTACAAGAAAAACATTCCAAAAGCAATCATAATGATTGTGGATTACAATATTTGTAGAAGTGTTTTTGGTATTTCATATATAACAGTGTATATTTTGATTATGCATTTTATTTGATTTTATTTCAAGAGAACAACTTGGCTTAGACTAATTACCAAAGGAATAAATACCATAAGACTTTCTAATATGTAAAAACTGTGAATAAATGCAAAAGATTATGCAGGGAATTTGCAAGAGTTCAATCTCGTTTAAATGGAGATTGGGGCAAGATAAATTTTATTGTCTAATCGTGTACAGAAAATATTAATATATATTTGATATTCAGAAGTTTATATTTTTTTAATCTTGTACTTTTCTAAACTCTAACTTTGCTACTCTTAAACTTTTATTAGTGAAAGACTTGATGGTAACATATTATGTATCAGCCTTATTTCATTTCATGCGTACTGTTTAGCTTACAATTTTATAGGAAGCAGGGCATTTTAAGGGAAATTTTAATGAGATTTAAGCCACGAGTTGTAATTTTCCTATCAAATATTGTAGCTCGCCTTTAATTAGAATTAAAAATATGAAAATTTATACACTGGCTGCTTTACTTTGATTTTTTCTTTTCTGGTTTTTTTTTACAATAAAAAAAATTACTAATAAAATTTAATATAAATATAAAATACAAAATAATAAAGTCCATTTTCAACGACACCGACATTGAGATCTCTTCAATTGCGTTTGCAAAATTATTTCAAGACAATTTTGCGGAAATTTCCAGATTTATATAAGTCGACCTTTAAAGAGTTATAGTTATATTAATGATTTTTACCGGTTTTTTTTTTTCGTTTTGCGTTCTGCTACATTTTGAATAAAAGTTTGCTGATTTTCATTTTGCAAAATCAAGTCGAACATCTAGTTGCTACTTGTATGTGTATGGTCTGTGAACGTAGGGACGTGACGCTCTGACGTAATCGACGTCATGATCTCATAGAGGATGTGAGGTCATGTGTTCGTTTTGTCATGTTACGAGACTGGTAACGAGGAAGGGAGGGATCTTAAAGAATTCCATATCAAGTGGAAAATGTTTTATACAACAAGAGCAGCAAGAAACAAGCTGTGTAGGCCTGCTTGTCATATCATACCTAAGGTAAAAAAAAAAGAAATTGCAAAAAAAGCGTTAAATTGAAATTCTCGCCAAAATAAAAGTTTGAGAATATTCTAATATTCTAAAGAATGTCATCAACTGCTGTTTTTTTTTTTTTTTTTTTTTTTTTTTTTTATAATAAGCCATGGTTATCAAGTTCATCGTTATAAAAATGATATGTCACCGATTGTCATGTTTCAATACGATAGACTAGTCGTAGCATTTGGACATGGTCAAAATATCATGGTAGATGGTCTCGTCTTCGTTCATGAATATTCACAAACAGGTATACCGTAGATGTTTTGCAAACATGTTATATAGCATGCAAAAATAAACCCATGAATATGTTTATTCACGTCTTGATAGCTGTTTCCATTTTAAATCGAAAAACTATTTTTATAGTACATTAAAATTTACTACACCAGAACGCAGGCACTGTAAGAGATAAAAACAGTTTACACTGACTAGTGGTATGAGAGTTGCTATTGTGCAAAAAACAACTGTCACTCTGAAGTGCTCTTACATTGTGACTATGACTTTGTTTTTGTGTTTTGACAGGTTTTAATAATGCTTGATCATTGGCCGTTTGTTTGAGAATCCCTAACTTTGATCGTAAGAATTCATAAAGTGGACCAAATGGAAGTAATTACTTTGCCATATTGTTTTAAATTCTGACCAATCCTTTCTGTAACCTGTACATATGGGAATCTCCCTTTTTTTAGTTATATGGGATAGTCTGAATTTTCATCTACATTTTTACTGTATTGTTTGTACATCTTGATTGCGTTAAGGTAAGTGTTTTTGACATGTTCATCATACTGGTCCAAGTGCATATTGGAAAAAAACTTGTGTTCAATACTCGCTACTGTCTCCCCATATATTACTCATTTGTTATTTCAAAAAAAAAAAAAAAAAATGCAGGTATTTTCTCTCTAATATTTTATCTGAAGCCTTCTCTGTTTTTCCCATACTAATGGCTTGTTCTTAGGACTTTGCCGCTACTGTGATTGTTCCTTAGGCATCACTTTTTTTATTAGCTATCCAGGCCCAAGCCTTTTGTCGCAAGTGAGCTGTCTGTTGACTATTGGAATTGGGCTGAGACTGTATCGGGATAGTTCTAAGACTTAATTGAACGCAGCTTGGTTTCTCGTCTTTATTTTGAAAGTTGCGTATCACCATATTGTGCTGCTGGTAGTACATTGCTGGTCACTAAAACAAAAAAGTACAAAATACCTTACAATAAAACAGATACATGAAATAAATACATGAAATTAAAATAAAACTTACATAATTGTGGAGTCTCAGAGAAAGAAACTGTTGTACACCCTCTCTGGTCTGAGACTGGTCTGAGCGTGGTCTGAGTGTAGATGAATGTGACCCAGAATTACATGAGTGAGTATATTCAGGTGTCACACCTGAGTGGCATAGTGAGCAGTTATCAGCTTATTTATTCCAGAACTATTTTTGTAGCTGCTTCATGTTGGGCTTGATGTTGCAAACTGAGGGATATGGATCATTTGTCTAAAATGGATGCTGCCATTGACGTCATAATTGAACAGTTTCTTCTTGCATGATGTAAAAAGACTTGGCCAAAAATCTACAATTTGATTCTCTGTAGATTTGACGGAACTAAAACAAGGTGACCATTCACTCATCTCCGTTACAACTGCGAAAACGCATTTGACCTCAGACCCTTTATGTGATCATAACGTCGTTTTTGTCAGAATGTCACTTCGCTCCATGGATCACTAGTAAACATAGGTAAAAGAGACTGAGACTGGTAACGAAGAAGAATGAATCTAGGAAAATTTCAGATCAACTGGAATATGTTTTATACAACAAGCACTACAAGGCTCTATTCCCATAGATTTTAGATCGATCTATCCCCGCGGGGAGTCTCACTAGATTACTTTCAGATAATCCGACTTAAATGTCCGTCCCGCCTATTACAAGCAGTAAGGGGGTAATTAACTTTCGTGTCCGCCCGGCTGACAGCTATTTAGCGTGAACCCCCAGGGAGTTAGGTCGATCTAAAGTAGGTCGATCTAATCTATGGAAATGGGGTGCAAGAAACAATCTTCTTGTCACATCTTATCAGAGGTAAGAAAGACCTTTCAATTATTGCAAGAAAGTTCAAAATGTAATAAAATTTTTGGCAAAGTATAATTATGAGGATTTTACAAGACAACTGTGTGATTGGTTCTGAGGTTTATTCTCCATGATAATTAAGTTCATCGTTAAAAAATGATATGTCGCCGCTTCTAATGATTCCATACTTTAGACTACTAGTCGTAGCATTTGGATATGGTCAAAGTATCATGGTAGCTGGATCTTTTCAACTGTCGTCACGTCTTCTTTCATCGATATTTTTAAACAGATATATAGGCCTACCGCAGATGTTTTTCTGACATATTAAATAGCATTCAGAAGTAAACCCCATGAATATGTCTGCTTGTTAACGTCTCGATGGCGGTTTCCATTTGAAAATCAACAACTATCAAATTACTACGTCAAAACGCAGGCCAAATATCCAGCTTTTGCTTTTTCTATGATATCTATTGATCCATGTAGCGTAGTGACGTCCTGACAAAAGTGACGTTATGATCACATAAAGGATCTGAGGTCATACGCGTTTTCCTTGTTTCAGTTCCCTCAAATCTACAGAGAAGCACATTGTAGAAATTTACTAATACATTTGACATCATGTTAAAGGAAATTGTTTGGTTATGATGCTATGGCCACATCCATTTTAGACATAAGATCCATATCCTTCAGTTTGCAACTTCAAGTGGAGCATCTGGCTGTTGCTTGTTTATGTATATGGTTTGTTGAACGTGAATGTAGGGAAGTTACGCTCTGACGTAATCGACGTGATGATCGCATAAAGAATGTGAGGTCATGTGTTTGTTATGTTATGTTACAAGTCTGGTTACGAGGAAGAGGGAAACTTAAAGGATTACATATCAATTGGGAGATGTTAAATACAACAAGCGCCGCAAAGAACAAGCTCTATACTTGACATAATTCACCAAAGGTAAGAAAGACCGATAAATTATTGCAAGCATTTTATTGGAATTCTTGCCAAAATATAATTTGTTGGGGATATTGTAAAGTATCTATTGTGTGGTTGGATCTGAGGTAGATTAGCTGTGTTCATCAAGTTCATCGTTATAAAAATGATAATAGCGTTTCTAATGATCCCATACGGTAGACTATTAGTCGTAGTATATGGATATGATCAAAATATCATGATATATGGATCTTTTCACCTGTCATTTGCCTTCGTTCATGAATATTCACAAAAAGAAAGATGTAAAATTGAAAGCAGCGTTCAAAAATAAACCCCCGAGAACGAGCAATTTGGTAGGTCAAAATGCAAGCCAAATATTCCATTTTGCTTGATTCTATGATTGCTGTTGATACCTGTAGCGTAGTGACGTTCTGACGAAAGCGACGTTATGATCACATAAAGGGTGTGAGGTCACAGGTCATGTGCGTTTTCCCTGATGTTACTGAGGTGAGTGAATGGTCACCTTGTTTTGGCTAATTGTAGAATTTTTGCATACTCTTTTACATCATGAGACAGTTAGATTATGACGCTATGGCAGAGTACATTTTAGACATGAGGTCCGCATATCTCAGTTTGCAACATCAAGTGGAATATCTATAGGTGTCGGTTGTACAAGGTATGTTTTGTTGAACGTGAACGTAGGAACGTGACGTTCTGAGGTAAGCAACGTCATGATCTCATAGAGGATGTGAGGTCATATGTTTGTTTTGCTATGTTAGATCTACGTGACTGGTTACGAGGAAGAGTACCTCTTAGAAAGTGTCAGATCAAGTGAGTGATGTTTTATACACCAAGAGCTGCAAGTACAAGCAAAGGTAAGAAATATACTTTTAATTGTTGCAAAAAATGAGGCGAAACGTGTAAAATGGAACTCTTAGGCAAAACAATTTCAAAGACATAAAAAGGCATCAACTATGTTGTTGGTTCTGGTAAATTTACCGTATTCATTTTGAAAAAGTGATATATCACCTATACTCAATACGGTAGCAATTAGATATGGCCAAAATATACTGGTACCGGGGGTAGATGGATCTCTTCAACTGTCATCTCGTTTTCGTTCATGGAAAATTAAAGACAGGTAGACTGTTTTGCTATCGGGTTCAAGAGCATACAGATAAGAACCCTTCGTTCTCGTCGCGAAGGCGGTTTTAGTTTTAGAATTATGACTATAAAATTTGTACGAAAACTCGATTAAAAAATTCAGCTATTATTTGTTTCTATGATATGTTGATGCACGTAGCGTATTGACGTTCTGACTATCACAAAAAAAGGTTGTCTGGAATAATGTGGACCTTGGACATATTGGCACTGAGTATCGCAATAAATGGTGGATTGTGCCAAAAAAAGGTGACAACGATAAACTGTAATTGAACAATCCCTGTTTGGAAAAAACATGTTTGCTACCATGCCCATGGACAATTTGCCAGCTTGTATATTTTCAAATTAAATAACACAGACGACAAAAGGGACTGGAAGCTTTATTATTCTACAGGCTGGACTTCTTGGCACACAAGCTATATAGTTATCGAACAGGTTAACTAAATAGCTGGTGGCTTAATACATGGTCTCTCTGCAAAAGGACGCCAAAGTAACATGCATGTCAATTAATTTTTGTTTGTGATATGAGAGTGCATCCAAAAAAACTACACGCTATGCTGATTTATCATTTATCAAAAAAGTAACTAATATACGTAATATGATCCCTTATTTTCATCTACACAAGTTACTACATGTAATACGAACAGAAAAGTTGAATATCACAAAATTAAAAAAAATTCAATCAAAGCACAATTTAAAAGAGTACATACACAAAAATTTAATTTAGAAGCTAGACGTTTCTATATTTAAAAAAAAGAGATAAGTTTTACAACACTTATTGCACGTCTAAAGAATGCCTCGTCAAAATTTATTGCACTTCAAATGTATGTAGCCAATACAAGATCATTCAAAAATCATCAAACCACTCCAAAAACAATTGCAATAGTTCAAATGCTTCATGTAAGACAAACCCAGGCAGATCCAGTTATAAATTAAGTCCTGGAGAGATTTAGTTTAACTTTCCCAGCTCTAATATATTAAATTCGTGATGTAATATTGTTGAGACCACGTGATCTAGAGCTGAGTTTGGTTTTCGGGTGCAGTCCTATTTGAAAGCGGTCAGCTATTTACAGTTCTTGAACAGCACTTCCTCCTGAAAAAAGAATTAAATCCTTAGACATTTTCACAAAGCGTAGAAACTATGCTATTTTTACGAGGAAAGAATCATAAAACATACCGATTCGTGCGGCAAGGAAAATATGGACGAAACACGTGAAAAACATCTACATGTCGTTAAGGTGAGGTACATGTAGAACTGAATCATAGACAACGACAACCTAAAATTACTGTTTATCAGTAGGAGCCAAATGATATGGTTAAGTGCAAATAGGAAGATCTCCACCTTTACCTTTTTATCTGTGTCTTTTAGTCATTTTTGGTATGGGACGTCCGTCGACAGAACTTGTATCGGAATCTTGAGTGGTTATTCCACTGTCGCTGTCACCCTTGGGTTCGGGGAGCACTAGCTGTTTCTCGGTGTGTCTCTGTCTTTGTGTCTGATCACTCGTCTTCCTGACAGCTATGGGGGGCTTTGGGGTGAATTCCCCATCGGAGTCGGAGTCTACCGCAGCAGCACCAGCCGGCGGGCCGAAAGCGTTGATAAGTTTCTCAGACTTGGTGGCGTCAGCCTGGCGTCTCTTTCCATATTCATCTGCGAACTGTCGAAGTTTGTTGGTGACGAAACGTGCAGCTTCTCGCTTCTTGACCATGGCTTCGGTCAGTTGTAGCCACGGATGCTCGTGCAGCTCGTCTGCTGTCAGGCGGTGACTGAGAAGGGAAAAGCCAAAAGTTATAGAATAATCGTAGCTCTGACGAAATGAACTAAACTTTTGTTTAATTTGATAATTGGCGTAATAGTGGTGTGCAGGGAGTTCATTTTTGGCAATACCTGAATGCATTTACTTAATCCTCAGTTTGCACGTGTGTTATATAAGTAAACTAAAAATTAAATTATAAAACACCGTCGAACGATTATTTTCCAACATTTTCCGTTCGACATACTCGCTTTAGCCACTTGCAGTGTCAATAATAATAAGAATAATGATAAATATAATAGATAATAATAGAATAAAAAATATAAAATAGCACGGAAAATCGTATACGTGGTAAATGTAATCTAGGCCTAAGTTAGTTCTACCCATCTCCAATGGAAATGGCCCTAATGTTTGTCATTATACTTAAATGAAAACATCATTACAATTTATGTGCTTATACACTGGGTACACCCCCCCCCCCCCATACACGTAAGAACAAAATTGGACTATCGTCTCAACACTGGTAATGAAATTAATGAATGCCACTAACCAGGTAACTGCAACTGAGAAGAAAAGAGGGGCAATGGAGCATAATTGTGAAAAGCTGTTGACTAGTAACTACAGACTTTTTAAACCTCTGAGACCGATTTCTTCCATTATATATATTGTAAACCATCAAATGATTTACCTTGGCTCTCGCTTTAAAGTCTCTTGTATATACTTGAAGGCATCCTTAGTGATATTCTCGTAGAGGCTGTGAGAATCGTAACGTACAGACCTCGTATTCTCTAGCGTTTTTTCGTCGTTTTCTCCGAGGAATGGGGACTCTCCACTTAGGCTGGATAATAAAATGATCACAGAAATCTAGAAACATTTCATGTAAGTTAGGCACAATCAATTTTAGTTTTTTTACACCCTGATATTCAGAGCAGTGTACTGAACACCAGCTGGTTATAAATATCATAAATGTTATAATGCTACAAATAAAACCTGAAATTTAGGGTATTTCTTTAATCACCCGGACAATATAAGTCCAACAAAAATAACTGCACTTCGTTTCTACATATTTGGTTAATATTCTTATGAACATATAATGAATACTTACAGAATAAACGCCAATACGCCAACTTGCCAGACGTCAGACGGGAATCCGACCTTTTCTCCACATGCCATTTCTGGACCTAAAAGTTATCAGACACACACACACACTTAGTATTTGGTATCTAGAGAGTCAAATTAAAATATTTTGCACGTTCTTTATTAAAATACTTAACACCAGTAACCGAATAACAGTCCCATGATCGACAATGAATTTTGAGAACGATGGAATTCAGCACATATTTAGTAGCAGCGACCAAACATTTATTCCGCGCGTTTTACAAATACCGGAGTTCAGTAAATGCAGTATATATATTATAGTATATATATATATATTAAACTTTCCACAACCATCTTACTCATGAACTCTGGCGCTCCAACTTGTGTCATCTTTTCTCCCATGGGGTCAGTTATGATGCGCGCGCACCCAAAATCACCGAGCCTGACGTCAAGTCGACGTCTGCTCGCCATCATCACGTTGTCTGGCTGTATGTTCAAATGCACGACGCCTTGATGGTGGAGGTATTGCACAGCATCGATAACCTTAAATATACCGAAGTTCAATGATGTTATTACATAGAAATTGATCATCAGCTGATACACCCAAAAATTCCATCAGAAATGCAAAAGGATTCCTCAAAACATAGAAAATGTAAAAAAAATCTTAAAGCATATCAGTGAATGAAGTTAATCTAAAAAAACTTGACGAAAAAAGTTAGAAGGTCTAGACCATAACAGCATTTTGCCTGTGCTTCTAACTGCCCTTTTAAGAAGACTCTTAAAAAGTCTTTAAAACGCATTTTAATCATCTTAACTAGGGGAGACCGGGGCTAGTTGGACCCCGGGGTAAGTTGGCCCCCCGTCAATTTATGAAAAAGTAACTACAAGGTAAAAAAATTGGCCATATACTCTTGTAAAGTGACCGTAGCCTACAATGCTAAGGAAGTGTCGGACGTTAAAAAGTTTTAATTAAGCGGTGAGTCCAAATAAACTATTTTTGCACCTAAAAGTAATTTTGTTTAAGAGATTTAAAAATCTATTTTCATAAGCTTTTGATCGAATATAAGATATGTATAGGGCATCAAACTGAAGCTCATTGTTTCAAGTTTCACAGATATGTTTCATCGTTGTTCATTCTAGCACCATAAATGGCTGCCATTCTTTAAAATAAATAATGTGCACCCGGGGCTAGTTGGCCCCCTTGACTCGGGGCAAGTTGGACCCTCATATTACCCACAATCCTTTGCGCGCAACGCTGTTTGAAATAAACACTGAAATAAACAAGTTGGTGGAATTGACAAAGCTTGTCGGTGTTTACCGTCTGATTGATTTTATTTGATTTGCTCTCTGGTGTCTTTTCGAAAATTTATATTAGAAATGTTCTGTTGATTGTATGTATTACAAAGCAAATCCATTTTACTTTCCTTAGAAAAAACATTTATTTTGCCTTAATTCATTGTAAGGGGATTCCCTTTATTTATAGTGTTATATGTGGCCCCAAGGGGATTTCCCACCCCTCCCTAGCTAGAGACCATTGTTGAAACAAACTCAATGGCTTAAAACTGAATTTGTTACTTTCTTTTAAAATGAAAATTTATTATTCGTTTTCATTCATTAAAAACCTGCTTTATACCATTATTAATTTATTCTTAATTAAAACAAAACAAATTTTATTGATAGATGTTTTGGTTCTTGCAACACATACCCCCCCCCTACAATATGACGTACGAAAACCTCAATACATCTGCCTCATTTGAACTATTTATTCATCAAAGACTCTCAAAAATCAATTTAATAAATTAAAAATGTATAAAAATGTATTTCAAGGCGTTTACATGGGATATACTTCATTTTCGTATAGGGGGGCCAACTTGCCAAGGGGGCCAACTTGCCCCGCCA